TCTATTGTTAATTCTTTTATCTTACATCAATTTGAGAACCCAACTGCCTCACACCAGACCCTCCGCATTGAGCTTGCCACTCACCTTCTCCCAGTTTCTGAAAAGCCAGCTTCTCTCCCCCAAGTTCGCACAACCTACTATCACAAAACCAACTGCCCTTCTGTTAGCAAATACAACCTAAACCAGCCTCCTGTCGCTCCTGGGCCTCATCCTACCCACAAACTTACAGACCTACCTCATGGAAAACAGCTCTCTTGTATCTTCTGCCTATTTACTAAGCATAATTACCACTAAACTGGCTTTTTCTTGTTCTGTTTGCTTGCTTCCTTTCTGTAAAAAAAAAGTTTTAAGGCCTTCCACTCTCAATAACCTTTTTTATTTCTTTCTCGTTTCCTTTTTATTGGGTTGTCTATAGGGCATGTGGTTACATGGTTATATGGAAATGAGTTTTGTACGAGCATCGAGGTATGTGTAAGCGTTGGAGAGAGACTTTCTTTTTTGGGCGTGTAGCTATGAGATACACAACAATAGCACATGTAGCTTTATGGTAGATGACGATTTGACACCTAGTACTAGGTAATTTTTACATTCTATACTGCTATGAATAAGGTATTAGTTTTTTTGTTTTGTTGAGTTTTCGCAGTTTGCAGTTTGCATTTTCTTCTTGTCCTTCTCTTCTCTGTTTTTTTTTTTTTGTTGGTTGTGAATATATCTCACATCCCTGGAGCCGTAAGAATCAGTAGTGTTACCCGCTACCTTTTGATATCATCTTGGCACTTTTTTGTATTATTCAGCATGTCTCAAACTGGCATAACATTTTCCATCATTACACCAGCCAAGGAGATAGCCTTGTATCTAGGGTAAGTATGTCGAATATGCCCCTGTTGTCTCCATTCCTTCTTGACAGTATTTTGCTTCAGCCACTGTGCCAATATTTTGACAACCTTTTTTCCTTCACCAACAATGAGCGTAAATGGCCAGTTTGGCTGCATAATTCACGTTGCAATCGTAATTTCAGCCAACCAGACCAAAACTCGACCGACTCTTTTTTTTCTTTTTAGCGTAGTTTTCGATTATTACTTGCCAACCTGACTACCTATTACCATCGGGTACTGTACTTTAAGCTCATCGCCTCGTTGACCCAAGCTCGACAGACTCTCGCGCAAAGCATAAGTACTGCACTCGAGTACAGTAAGATAAGTTAGTGGTGTAGAGTGCATATTCCGATTTAGTTAATAATGAAATCATAATCTTAACCCATCTAACTCAGTGCAGGGAGAGGTAGCATTCGTCCATATGCCACAAGCTTTGTCGTGAAGATTTGCACATGAATCCCTCCTCACCGGAGGGAGGAAATGAAGGAAGGCAATGGCGGAAGAAATTCCATAATCTTTCCGTTTATTCCTTCCCTAATTCCCTCCTTCGCTCCTGCTTTCCAGCCTTCCCGCCTTCCCGCCTCCCCGCCTTCCTGCCTTCCCGCCTTCCCGCCTTCCCCACTGTGACTACTTCTTTCTTCTTATTCCCCAAGGAGGGTCCTCGAATACAGTAGAATACGTGGGTACTGTATCTCGAGAAACCGATCGATGATAGTGATCATGGAGCGGGAATGGATGGAGGGATGGCGATAGGCGGGGTGGGAATAAGCCGGAAATGGAGTAACTAGGTGGGAAGTGAAGGGAGGTGGTACGATAGGGGAGGGAAGGGAATGTATTACTCGTACAACAGACAAGTTCAAGGCACAGCAACGCAAATTGGAATCCCGGCAATGGGGAAAAAGTTGTTGTGATATGATATGAGATTTGGAGGTGATGTGACGACGATTCCTCTCTAAAGTTCTACCTAGGCTGTGGGATGATCATACTGTAGAGCTTTAGTCTATTCCCCTACCGCGCCAGGCGGGGGGGGGGGGGGGTGGGATTGACCAACAGCTACCTGTATTTGGTAATCGAAGAGAAAGTTGCTTAGTTTTATTTTCGACGTACGGTACTGTACAGTACCTGTAGCGACTTGACATTAGTCTATTTACAAGTACGCTCATGACATGAGGAAAGAAAAAAACACCAAAAATGTCGCACGATAGAACCTTTCCCCCCTCCTCACCCGAATAAGGAAGGTTTCCTCGGAATCTGATGGTAAAACAGGTGACCCAGGGGGTGTCGGGTGTTGTGCTGAAGAGGCTGGAGGGAGAATGATTTGTGAGGCTGGCGCACTGGTTCCGGTTACTACCATTCTGTCTACTCGTACTCGAGTATGATACAGTACCAGCACCCCTCTCCCTTAGCCTTCCAGCAACACATTTACCGGTGCAGTCCAAGTACGAGTACAGGTACAGTACCTGCACTCGAACAGGTGTCATTCACCTATGATACCACACACCATACACCACACACCCCTCCATCCCAATTGCCCACACCACACATCCTCACACACCCGCCCTTTTCCCACTCCACAAACTTACAGCAGGGAGGGACCCTCGATGCATAATGACGTCTTCCGGCTGCCGATTCTCTTTTTTCTTCTTCTTCCCTCCCTTCCCTTTCGTTCATTTTCCAGGCAGCCTGGATCTTGATCTCTATCCCTGTCCATCCATACTGGTACTTTCCCAGGCCCTATTTTGTTTGTTTTTTATCAATGAGCGAGCACTTTTTTTCCCACTCGAGTATTCTCAAGTATTTTTTTCTTTTTTCCACTTGTGGTCAACAATGGATTTATGAATGAGTGCGCATCTTGTTTTTGGTTCGTAAGAGCTCGCACCATCCTGATGGCCATCATGCATTTTTTTTTCTTTTTTTCTTTTTTTTTTCTTCTTGAGAGGTGCTGCTGGGAGTGATTAAACAGATACCGTAATGTATATACCACCAGTACCATACCGGTACTCGAGTACTTGTATTATACGTTGCTCGAGCAGGCCGTCTATTGACTTGAATATCCGCCCGCCTGCAGCCTGTCAATCCGCAAATCCATTTGTGAATTTGATGTTTACAATGTTTCCCCACGAAATAAGCCCCCGGCGTAGCTAGCACTCACCATCCACTCGAGTATTGACTCCCCATTCACGGACTGTGCGATTTTAGGTCGTAGTCCAAAGCACTTTGTGAGCCGGTGCTCGTCATGCCCGGCTCGCTATCTAGGGGGGGGGGACGTTGAATGGTACAGTACGAGTACTTTTAATTTTTTCCCTCCTCCTCCTCCTCCTTCCACTCCTCTTCCCTTCTTCTCCTAGACGTTGATAGCACTCGGCTTTTCTGTCGTGCTGTACTCGAGTATCGTGCAGTTACCGCCTCCCGCCTTCAACATTCGACCGCTTCATCACCTTTGCATACAAGTAACGAGAATAGTACGAGTACAGTACTCTACCGTACCGTACTTAGCAGCACGACCACACATTCCACCTCCCCTCCACCACCACCTTACCAGTGACACCCCTGATCAAGCTTATCGAACGGTAAAGCTTCCGAAAGTGCGTGAGAATACACTTCACTTTCTCCTTTTCTTTTTTTTTCATACATCGACTTCACCTCTTTGTTTTTTATTCGATCAAAGGAAGGAAAAATAAAAAAAACATAGACTTTCGTTTATCACGGTGCTTTCTTTTTTTCAAACCCTTGTTTCACTTTCTCGATTTTTCGCCTGGCATAATTTATCTGGTGCCTTTGAATGGACATTTTGCTTTGAAATTTTTGGCCTACATTTTTTCCCCCTTGCTTTACGATTCCGTAACCGCTATCACACGTATGCTGAGCAGAGTAGGCACTGAGTACTGTATTGCACTGTCCTTGTCCCTGGCTGCCTGTCTGTCCATCGGTATCAATCCAGCTATTTCTCTCCCTCCGTCCTGAGTATAGTACTCGAGTATAGCACAGGACCGTACAGATAGCGTATGTAGTGGCCAACAGCCCTGCTTTACTCTGCTTTTCCAGACCTGTGTATACGAGTAGTACTTGTACTCCTCACCGCCTTCAAAGGTTGTCACCTCTTATTTTTATCTTCCGTGTTCACGTCTTCACCTCCTCTCTACCTCCCTCATTCTTTCCTCCCTTCCCATTGCACCTCGACTAGAGATTTACTTTCTCACTACTCCTTTGCTACTGCCGTTGGGTAATCCTCCTCGCCCCCTTTCCCCCTGTCATCCATATTCGCCACCGGTTGTTTTTGGCCGAGGGGAGATTAATGCGGGCACCATTCGTAGGGGGTCGTGCTAAAAGAGCATATGGAGAGCGGGGAAGTTGAACCGATTAAGCGAGTGGAAGATAAACTCAAGGAGTCCTCATGTTGATTCTGTGTTATTGTTGTCTAGGTTTCTCGTCCTAAGGCAAGATCCTTTGTCTTCGTTGTCCCGTCCTTTTTACTATTTTCCCGTCATCGCTTCAGTCAGCCAGCGCGTTCGTTCTGGTACGCGGGTGCGTACGAGTAATAGGAGAGAAGGGAAGGGAGGAGTAGAAAAGCAGGCTTCTGGTCAAAGAAGAAGGACAAGTAGAAGAGCCGGCAAAAGAAGAGGTTGCACAGCTCCTCTTCATCCGTCGTTTGCATTTCCTCATTCCCTCTCATTTTCCATTTTTAATCCCCCTGTTCATACCGGTATTGCCTGATTTTCCCTACTGGATTGTTTGACATTTTAATAATCTCCTTACCTCCTCCCAGCCCCTCTCCCTCGTTTACTACGTCTACTGCAATTCTTCTGTTCTTTTTTTCCCCTTTGGCTCATTTTTGGGGTTTTCGTTTGAGGCACCGGAAATCACAGGCTTTCTTTTTAATGTCGCCATCAAGTTACCCGTAGCTGTCGACGTCATACCCTAGCCCAAAAGCTGCAGTGACAATCAATTAACGGCTGGTTGCCCTCGACTACTCTTCCCTACCAACCACCCCTACACCCCCCCCCCTAAAAAAGGATACCTTCGTGGGCATACCGTATTATGCGATCGCCTCAAAATTCGCCACCTCTATTCCCTTCGACCTTTGAAACTTCCCGAAGCGGCTTGACCACTAATGCTACATTTCCAATGTCAACGTCCTCATCGTCGAACACCGGCCGAGTGGGTACTGGCGGCACAGGGGGTTCCGCTCCGGGCTCAGGAAACGGTGCAGGTGGTGCAGGTGGTGGAAATGGAAGTGGTGAGGGTAGAGGGTGCGGTCAGGGAGCACATTCCATCGAGGGTTTGAAAGAGGTATTCTTCCTCCTGCTATCGAACCCATCACCGACAATCAGCCTACTATTGCTGCTCTTTTCTGGGTGCATCGTTATACGCTTGTTTGGGATTCTAATTTCTCGAAAGGCGGTCGTGAGTGCTCGGGCTCAAACCGGCCGAAAGAAGAGCCGATTATATCAGGCAACTACGGTCTCTGCGTCCAGTTCTCCCGGCCCACCTGATGCACCCGAAGTTGCCTCCGTGGCTGCCTCCACGACTGCCTCATCTGTTACGGCTACGAAGGGATTTAGAGCTGGAGGGGATGTTGTTCGGTCATTTTCGGGTGCCGGGGCCACGTCCGCTTCTCGAGTGAGGCACCCGACGGATCCTACACCTACTCCATCATACCCATTCCCTCGGATGGAGACACCGAGAACTCTATCCAGTGGCAGCGTATCGGCTGCTTTCGACTTGAACATGTCATCGGGTATGGGCCCCCAAGATAAGCCTATTCCATCCGGTACCAATACCCCTGCTTCATTTGCTTTCCAACCCCCCGGTGCCCAACCCATAGCTTCATGGGAGAACCCTGACTTTCCTACACCAAATATGTATGAGCTTGCTCTGCTATTACACTCCGAGGCTGGGATAGACGCCTTCTGGAGTAACATCGTCAAGATCGCTACCAGTTGTTATAAGGCAGAGCGAGTTACATTGGCAGTACCGTCCGATCTTACGGACCTAGAGAATACCCCTTGGGGCCAAAAGGCTACTTTTAACATTGCTGAAGATGATTGCTTGTCATTAACTTATATGGGAGATGCGGGGTGTGTGGATGATCGAGAAGAGTCATCGCCTGAGGAAGACGATGGAACCCATGACGTCCCTATCCCCAAAGAGTTTGGTTCACCAACACAATCGGAAAATAAGGCTGGATGGGAAGGGCTCGGATCGAAAGTGGAACACGATGATGATCTTGCCGAACCTTTGCACATCGATATGAATCCGGATGAACCATTTACTCCGGTGACCATCGGATTGGCGGAAAGTTGTCATGACAGTGCAAGGGAGTCGGACTGGCTTTCTGAGACTAGCAGCCTGTCACCATTGGAGCCTCCCCAGCCCCCACCGTTGCCCCCAGAGTTGGGAAGACAAAGGCGGAGGGATATGTCTCCTTCCGGAGGTGCCGATGATGAGATTAGGGGTCGGGTGTTCAAGACGCTGCAACCCTTAAATTATGAGGCCGATGCGTTGTTGGATGGTGCTGGTGTTAGTAGGGTATTACAGCGGGGGAAGGTTGTGGTTTTAGGGAGGGAATATAGGGACGTCAAGACTCATCTTGAAGGGTTAGAAAAGCGGCGGAAGGAGGCTAGGGAAGCCGAGGAAGCTGCTGCTGGAAAACCCTCACCACCCAATGTTTCCGGCGGCCCAGCAAAATCGTCTGTGTCGATACCTGAAGCAGCGTCGACACAGGGTGTGGAGAAACTTGACCTGAGTTCGGTGAACAATGGGATGCCACAAATACCCTCACAACCTCCCACCCCATTATTTTTTGCCGGTAAGGGCGTGCGTCTGAAAATGAAGAATGGCGGGGGGGATTACCGTGGGCAAAATCCGGTAATGCAATTCTACTCTGCACAACAGCATTTACATCATATGCAAGCGCGTTCCGAATCACCGGATAAAGCCCACTCTTACGAGGAGTACGAGCAGGCCCTCACGTCGCCATGGAGCCAATCACCGGCTCCATCTCCGGCACCAAAACAGGATCCGCACGAAAATCCCTTCTTTGCTCTACCAAAGGTTGACGAGGAATCATTCGATCCCCAAGTAAGCAGCCCTGTGTACTCGACCCAAGAGCGGGTCAATGCGATTGGATTCGAGAGTGCGTGGACAGTTATCCACATACCCCTAGTTCATCCTAGTCAGTCCAAGTCGCTGAATCCCTCTTTTTTATCAATGGCATCGACTAGTTCTTCCCATAGGCACAATTCTCTGTTCCAAGGCACGATGCCTGCGCTAGACAATGAGCACCTGTCGAGACATGATCCGGCGAGTCACAAGAAGGCTCCTATCGCCATTCTTTCGATATTGAGTCCTGTTATCCCGTACCCGAGGAATTTGATTCACTCACTCTCACATTTTGCGCCATTGGCTGCTACGGCATTTTCTTTGGCGCAAAGCCATGCCAATGTCGTGAATCAACTCACTCACTTACGATATGGGAGACCCTTCGAGCGGAAGATGGATGTGGAGTCGATATTGACCAATTCTTTCCATTATCCCACCCCTCCCGATAATTTCGGCGGTGCGAGCGTTACGAGTCCGAGTGAGATTAGCAGTTCGCTATCGAAGGATAGTTCGTCAAGGGTTGCGAGCCCTGGTTGGGAGGGTGTCACCTTAGGGATGACAGGTCCTCATGGTAGCGGGTCGGGTAGCAGGTCGTGGAATAATAGTGCGGCTAGCACCCCCGCTAGTCCGGGGATGGAACGACAGGACGAATATTTTGGACCACCTCCACGGGGAGGGAAGATATTTAGTAGGCAGAATAGTGGGAATGTTCCAACGCTATCCACCTTGCGAGCTAGGATTCCCATGGTAGAATTGAAGGTTCGGATAGAGGATGAGGGGACTACAGGCTCCAGCGGAACAGCCAAGGGAAAGAGACGGGAGAGTAGTCATGCTGCGCAGAGGAGGAGGGCCGATATGGGCATGGGCTCAAGTAAGTTCCCTAATCATACGGATCTACGGAGGGGTACAAACCCAAATAAGACACCGACGCAACACCTTGGTGCGATCGCAGCCGAAGGGGCATCACCACCCGTATCACCGGGACCGGAAATAGCACACCAGCATCGCCGCGGTCGAGGCGTTCCCCGGAGGAAGAGGCCAGGGCTATCTCCGGGCTACCCACATACTTTGCTGCATTCGTATGGGGCAGATTATGCAGCAACGTTCCAATCATTATATGCTACAACGTCACTTCCCGGGGCTCCATCTGGACGGCATGGTATATCCTCTAAGTTGGCTACTTCTATCCAGCCGTTGAATGAAATGCCACCCCCATCCAACAGGTTGCTAAGGACAATTATTGATTCTATACCAGTTCATGTTTTCACGGCTTTACCACACAACGGGGAAACCACCTGGGTTAATGCTAGGATGCTGGACTACAGAGGATCCACGGTCGAAGAGCTCATAAAAGGACCTTGGGATGCCCTTCACCCTGACGACCGGGGCGATTATGTGAAACGATGGGGAACTGCCATTCGGAAGGGTGAAGCATTCTCACATCAGGTCCGGATCCGCCGGTTCGATGGCATTTATCGGTGGTTCATGATCCGTGCTGTTCCGTTACGAGATTCGCGAGGTATCATTGTGCATTGGTTCGGCACTAATATGGATATTCATGATCAGAGGTTGGCGGAGGTGGATGCCGCGCGTCAATCAGAGATGGCCGAATCGGAGTCTAAATATAGGTCGCTTGCGAACTCAAGTCCACAGATTGTTTTTGCTGCCACTTCCAACGATGGGATTACCTATGCCAATACCCAATGGCAGGGATACTCCGGACAGACTCTTCCCCAGGCCTTGCAATTGGGATTCATGGAACATGTTCATCCTGCGGATAGACACAAGTGCGCCTTGCCGGGACCGGGGGAGACTTTGGTTAATGGCCTACCATGCCTTGGTAATTCATTCAAGATGACAGCGGGTGGGGGAAACCTTGGAGCCTCTGGATCTGGAAAATTCGAGGAAGAGAAGCCCACCTTCTCTACGGAACTCAGGCTCAAAGATAAGCATGGCAATTACCGTTGGCACTTGGTTAGATGTGTTGGCGTAGAGACCAATTTCGGCACCGGGGATGGCCAATGGTTTGGAACTTGCACGGATATCAATAATCACAAATTGCTCGAGCAGAGGTTGAAGGAAGCGAAGGATGCTGCGCAGAAGACTATGGAGAGCAAGACGAGGTTTTTGGCTAACATGAGTCATGAAATCCGTAAGCAGAATTGATAGATCTCCGTACGATTGTGTGAGCTGACTGGTATTAGGAACTCCGCTTATCGGTATATCGGGAATGGTTAATTTTCTCCTCGATACTCCGTTGAATGGGGAGCAGCTCGACTATTGCCACACAATTTCCCAGAGCTCGGATGGGCTTTTGAGCGTCATCAATGACATTCTCGACTTATCTAAGGTTGAGGCTGGCATGATGAGGATGAATCCTGAATGGTTTAGGATCAATACTTTGATTGAAGACGCCAATGAGCTTCTAAGTGCAATGGCCGTCGCTAAGGACCTTGAGCTAAGCTTTATCGTTGAAGATGATGTGCCACCCGTGGTTTGCGGTGATCGGGTTAGGCTCAGGCAGGTAATGTTGAACGTCATTGGGGTATGTTGTGTTTAATAAATTAATGTCGGTGCCATGTTCTCGGAAACTGATTTTCCGACTTCGTGACAGAATGCTATCAAGTTCACTACCAAGGGCGAGGTTTTCTCGAGGTGGTCTGTCATAAAAGACGCCCAGGTTGGGGAAGGCGAGGTCATGCTGCAATTCGAGTGCCATGATACCGGACCTGGTTTCGACAGAAAAGATGAAGAGTTGATGTTCAAGCCATTTAGTCAAATTGACGGATCGAGCACTCGAGAGCACGGGGGTAGCGGGCTTGGCCTGGTCATCTCACGGCAGCTTGTTGAACTCCATGGTGGGCGGATGACAGCGAAGAGCCAGAAGGGCAAGGGATCGTATGCCTCACTTCTATCTTTCCCGATAACGCAAGGGTGGTGAAGATGCTAATAGGAACATAGGACGTTTATCTGTAGCTCGAAGTTTAGGCTTCCACGGAATCCCACAGATTCGTCGACTACCCCGCAAGCTGCGGTTACACCTTCGGCAATTACCGAGTCACCTGGCCAAAAACGGGGCATTCTTGAATCTGCCAGGCTCAACGATTATCGATCAGACACTCCTCCAGGCCCAGCATTTAGTGAAGGTCATTCTTTAGGTACCCTATTCTCGGCTAGCCATGAACCTGGCTCCGCGGCCTCTATCCGACCCACTGGGTCTGCAGTCGGGCAGGTGCATGGTCTCCCAATCCGGTCACCGCCTGATCCCGCTGCCATGCGACTTTCCCTTCCATCTGGAGTCCAACAGAAGTACATGGCATATACTCCTCCCCAACCCGGGCAGCATAATTCAGCAAATTATCACGGTCCTCCAATAGGTTCCGAGCTTGGCCGTGCAGTCTCCCCTCCGATGTTTTCCATATTAATTGTTTCGGAGCAACATTATTCCCGAGTCGCTATTGCCCACCATATCAGGGTGACGTTACCTAAGGGTATTCCAAATCAGATCACGGATGTGTCTAAGTTTTCCGAGAGTAAGGATTTGATTGGCGGAGAGGATCCCGTTGTGTTTACTCATGTTGTCATTAATCTCCCTGAGCATTTGGAGATTATCGAGCTCTTGACTATGCTATTGAACAGTTCGATCCATTCGCAGACAACCACCCTCGTTCTCACAAATCCTACGCAAAGAGCGACCATCATGCAAGGTGCAGCAGATGTGTGCGATCGCATGAGCTTGAGATTGCAGTTCATTTACAAACCCATCAAACCCTCACGTTTCGGAGTCATATTTGATCCGGCCAACGAAAGAGATGCCTCAACAGATAGAAATAGAGATTCTGCACAGCAGGTTGTAGAGAGCCAGAAGAGGGTTTTCAGTCAGATGGAGAAAGAGGTCGGGAATAAAGGGTATCGGGTGTTACTTGTCGAGGACAACAGAGTGAATCAGAAGGTTCTATTGAGGTTTTTGGCCAGAGTTGGGTTGGAAGTTGAGACGGCAAGCGATGGCGAGGAGTGTGTCGAGAGGGTCTTTGAGCACGAGCCGGGGCACTATGGGCTAATACTTGTGCGTCTTCCTCACCCTATTCCCTTCTTGCTGTTAGCTAATTGGTCCTGGTAGTGCGATCTCCACATGCCAAGAAAAGACGGATTCCAGGCCACCAAGGAAATCCGTCTCTGGGAACAGGAACACAAAGCCCATAGAGTACCTATAGTAGCCCTTTCAGCGAACGTGATGTCGGACGTGGCGGATCGGTGTATTGCTGCCGGCTTTTCTCGATATGTTTCGAAACCTGTGGACTTTAAAGAATTGAGCTCAACGATCAAGGACTTGTTGCAGGATTCGCAGGAAGGCGAATTCGATCACATTGAGTAAGCGGAGCCTGGTGGGGTTATGTCTTATGTCTCTTTGGGCATTCTACTTTCATATCCTTTTATATCAAATTTTCATGTGCATTGCTTCCTTTGCTTTCCCTTTTTCTGTGCCCCTGTGTGATAGGTTCCTGGCCCCATTTTAGTGTTGGTTGTGCTATCTACTTAATGGCTCTGCAAAAAATAATTGGTTGTTGAATTCGGTGCATTTGGACGCGCGATATCTCCCTCCCTCTCCCCCCACCCGCATGACGTTTGTCTATCTGCCTATCAATCACGTTCTTGCTCCAGCGGGTGATTTCATCTGTTATATATACTTTGTCTTACATTTCCTTTCCTTGCAGTCTGTAGTTTTAGTTTAGTTTGGGACCCGGATTCATCAGTTGGTATTCGGGCGGAATATACAGTGGTGGGGCGATTTGGATCTGAGATTTTGGGATATCATGTTCCTTGTTTTAGGGGGAAATTGGGAGGGGGGGAGGGGGGCTTAATCGATACTAGGCTGAGGGGCGGTTTTGCCAGGGTGGATAAGGGGGTGGATTAAAGTGTGGATGAGGCAGAGGGATGTATCTATGAGAGATGGAGAATTGGCATAGACTTTTATTCGTTTGGTGCGATTGTTTTTCAGAGGATGGTATAGTGGGATTGGTGGCTGGGGGTGACAGTGGATGGAGTGTCCAGTAGGATTATTTTTAGGGGTATGATACAGTAGGACTAAGCTGAAGCTGAGATTTCCGCGGACTGGAGCCGGAGTCCATCATGATTGGAACGCTGGGTGTGCGAGGGGCGAGGTTTCTGACTGTAAGTTTGTGCCCGGGGACACATTGGGCGTCAGGTATATCATTGGGGGTAAAGTTACTTGCTCGTTGCACGGAGGTTGCAAAGAAGCATAGCCAGCGTTTGGAATAAATTACAATATCTCTTTGCCCACTCACCAGACCCGGCATGGGTGGTGAAATGAAACAAGGAAAGTACTCTAATATGTTGCGGACGGATAATACCAACTTCAATAATAAAGCAAAATTTGATGAAAGCTATGATAATAATATTATTATGATACTATCCCGGCAAGGAGAGGGTTTCTAGCTGTTGGGGTGGGACAGGTGTGAGAGCTAGGGCAGGCCAGAAGTTATCCAGGCGAGTGACAAGTGGTGAGTGACTCCCCAGTGCTTTGCCCACTGAATCCGTCGGTGAAGCCATCCCCTTCCCTAACCCTACTCAACAATCCCGTGCTCCCTATAGACTATCATAATCTCATCTCATTATGTATACTGTGCAACATTAATCTCCAAATTCGATCCATCAGATAAGAAAAATACGATCTATTCCATCTAATAATATTATTATGATGCACGTATGCTGAACAATACACCCCAGTGCAGTTTGCATCACACATCTGACAATGTATCACGTAAGCAATGACTCATCCACCACGGTATACAATATCACTGAAATGTAACCAAGCGCAATAATATAATAGGAGCACAGAAATCGGTCCGCGAGGAGCGAGGGGATGCTAGTATTATCATAAATTACTCGAGTTAGAATAGGAGAGGTTAAACCAGCTCCCCCCACATTGACATCACATGTGAGTCAGTCACGTGAATCGCCCCCTTTCACCGAGGATATCCGCATCATACAAACCCTCTATATCAGTGGGTTATCGGTCAGCATTATTCCCGGTTTTTTCCCCCTTTCACAGTTCTACCCCTAGCTTTCCTCACTGAGCCTGACTCCATTTTCTCTCTCTCTTCTCTGTAACCACTCTCAACAGAGATTTACGACGGAAGGTTGCTTCATACCTCGGAGAATTTTGGACGGACAGCGAGGACAGCGAGGCTAAGCCAATGTCAACATTATCTGAAAAGCCGGCACTGCCTTCGAAGGAGACTGTCAAGCAGGAGATACAGCAGGATATTCAGGCCATCAAGTCCCCGTCGTTATCTGGCCTTCGGTCTCTGGTTGCTGGGGGTGTTGGAGGGGTTTTCGCCGTCATTAGTGGTTTGTGTACCTTTGCTCTGATCTGATTTATTCATTGCTGACTCTAGCTTAGGCCACCCATTTGATCTGGTCAAGGTCCGCCTTCAAACGGCCGAGAAGGGTGTTTACTCTGGCGCTTTTGATGTCGTGAGGAAAACTGCCGCTCGTGAGGGCATGGTAAGGGTATGTTCCGGGAGAAATATTTTAATCCCCACACCGAGCCCTGCCCCTTGAGGTTGTGATCTTTGGGAGAGGGACAAATCAAGGACTAAGTAGCGTGTGAACAGGGGTTGTATGCGGGTGTATCGGCACCATTGATCGGTGTTACACCGATGTGTAAGTTTCCGTCCAAAACGCATTATTTATTGTGCGCATATGCTAATTGTTGTCCCACAGTTGCTGTATCATTCTGGGTCCGTCACCAATCACCCTCCTGCTCAATCCAAACCTAACAGATACCAAAGGGTTACGACGTCGGTAAAAATCTCGTCCGCCGCTTCGCAACAGTCAACAGCAACCAAATGTCTATCGCGCAAATTTCCTTTGCAGGCTTTTTCTCGGCGATCCCGATGACTCTTATCACCGCGCCCTTTGAGCGGGTAAAGGTTCTCCTGCAAATACAAGGCCAGACCGGGGAAAAGAAATATTCCGGTGGTATGGATGTTGTCCGACAGCTTTACAAGGAGGGCGGCATTCGCTCAGTATTTCGTGGATCGGCAGCGACGCTGGCCCGAGATGGACCCGGATCCGCAGCATACTTTGCCACATACGAGTATATCAAGCGACGCCTAACACCCGAGGGTGAGGGTAAGTTGAGCATGAGCGCTGTGATGGTTGCGGGGGGCGCCGCAGGTATGGCGATGTGGTTGTTGGTGTTTCCCGTGGATACGGTGAAGAGTCGTCTGCAGAGTGCCCAGGGCAAACCGACCATTGGAGGTGTCGTTCGCGAGATCCACGGAAGGGGTGGGTTCAAGGCATTCTTTCCGGGCTTGGGTCCAGCGCTCGCCAGGAGTGTACCGGCAAACAGTATGTGCTTTTTGGGCGTTGAGTTGGCGCACAAGCTGATGGATAAGACGTTTGGTTGAAAGCATTATCGTAATGCTTCTGCTCTCCTTTCTCTTGCTTGTTCTTGGCTTTCTATTGTTTGCAGCGGGTGTCTAGGATAGATCGATAGATGATGTATTAGTAGGAGTACAGATGTATAGTATACGATCCTGGAGAATTCGAGATTTTGGCCAGGATCGAGAAGCACACCGAGCACGGATGTCACTACGGTAGCCCACGGATTCTCATCCACACTCTCTACCTACTGCGCTATCCGATGGAAGGATTATGCGAACCCCAAACCTGAATGGAAAGTATGCACGCTCCATGAAAAGCCCAGCAGCCGGATAGGTCACCCAACTCATTGTCAAATCGTGTTCCCTAAAGATGCGTGGCAAGCTCTCCGCAATTTTGACGCCCAATGAATCATCGAAAACTGCGAAACCTTGCTGTAACACTCCCATTCCTCACCCATCACACAGGACACCACCACCCATATACCGGTATTTTACAGGGCTACAACACTACTGACCCTAATACCATGGAATATATGTCAGCGCAGTGGGAGCTCTTCCGAACATCAGCAAAGCGGGAATACCGGTACTGCTCTTGCTCGAGTATACCCCTCCAACAAATCCCGCCCAGATTTCCTTCCGACCCGCGGTAGTATTACATCTGCAATACCCTTCCCCCTCAGTCATATCCACACCCCAAGTTGTCCATGCCCATCATAGATGCGTGTACGAGTATCATACTGTGCAGTACTTTCGTGCAGCGTAACCGTTATTTGCAAAGGCATATTTTACCAACGAACCCAATTCCAATAATGTCACAAGCGGGCTCCAAAATCTACGATATCACTTTGGTCCTATTTTTCTTTCTTCAGAATATGATACCCAGAGAGGTCGAGGGGGGAAAATAAAAAAAAATAAAGAGAGAGTGTGTCCTTCAAAGAAAGACCTGGTATCATAGACTACTACTTGCACTTGCACCAGTAAAGACGCAGGCCTACCGACCAGAGCACACCTTGCTCCAGCGGGAGCAAATTAGGTTACACCTCCCTATAATAACCGGCGGGTAGTCTACGCCCGCGGAGCACAGAGTGGGAATTCTCATACAGGTATAGACTACTGTAGTGTATCCCCACGTCAAGTTTCGGTTTTTGAGTGATACGGTTTCGCGGTGGTGGTCGTTCTACGGGACTGCTGCGATGGAGAGGGAAAACAAAAGTGCTTAGTGATAAATTGTAAGCTTGCACGGTTTCCACGATGACGTGCTGAGACTATTTTTTAGTGCGTGATGGGATCTCATGCGGAATGCGCTACGATACCATGATTCCCGGAGTTGTCGGTGGTATTTTATTGTTGTGCTGTACGAGTACTATACTTGTATAGTAAGTGGTGGACTTGTTGGAACAATTTTCGGTGGCCTGTCCGGGAAATGTTCATATCTCGGGATATCCCACTACACATACTCTCTGCGTAATTTCGTTTCCCACTCCCTAAAGCATACAAACACCGCTTTCCGATCCTCGGGATCAATGCCGCCGAAGCGAGATTCAGGACCGCACAAAAAACGAAAAAAGTTCCACCAACCTAGGGTACGGTGGTACTGCGCTTGTCCCACCATGAGATAGCACAGATAACGTACTTGTATGATATATGCCCCTTGCACTCCTCTGTCTATAAACGTCATTTTGTGCCAGTTGCCCATAAAACAAACTCCATGCCTTCCTTGCCCAAGAACCCTCCCAATTTCGTCTCTACAAAATTTAATGGAATAATCCAACCGCCCCTTCCAGCAGGTTCCCATACCCCGGACCCTACTACCGCATTAACTTGAATATAAGAGAATCGCGCTAAGCGGTCATATTAAGGCTAAGACATCTAGTTGCGTAATTTTATGAAACTAGGGTGATTGGCAACATTATTCTTCAGTCCTTAGGGGACCAACAACATAGTCAATTGCTTCACTATTGTCTTCTGCTTCAGGGATGATTTCCTCATCATCCTCATCTCTAGTATTCTCAATTCCACCTACTCACCAATTTTGTATATCCTCTCTAAATCTCTCCATATCTACACCTTTCAAGGAAAGTTGACTACATTCATGACTGCCATCGATTGGTAAAGAAAGTCCCACTGCAGCAAAAGAATGGAGAATAACCTCCTGCCATTCAGTACAAAATTCTTCCCAAGCCTCCCCAATAGCCCATGTTGTTATAATCCACCTACGACAAACTTTGCTGCCTGCAAGCCTCCTCCTCGTATCAACCACAGCCTCCTCTCTTTCTATTATTATTTCTTCCCATTCCTCAATCTTTTCCTAATAATATGTTAGCCTTGTACTTTAGATTTACTGGATTTCAGCTGTCTAATAGTAGTTTGCCAATTCAGACTCGGAGTAGTTCACCATAACCTTTTTAGAATTTTGCAAGAGAATGATAGAGAGGAGTATGAGTATGGCCAATAGATATATCCATCACATGCCTTGTCTGAGCACACTTCAGCAGGGAGGCTTCACTAAAATTTTCTTCTCAAGCTTTACATGACGGATATATCTATCAGCTACACTTGTAGGATAATGTGAATATAATACATACATGTAACCACTTTTTAAAAGGCCTATTGATTGAAATATCCAAGGGCTGCACAATACTAGTGTATTCAGCTGGGATGACTGATACTGTAATATCATTGGCTTTCATAGTATTCAATACATCCTCAGTTCTATATTTAGAGAATAAATCAACCGTCAAAAGAGTAGGATAGTTGTCCGAAATAGGTATAAGTTGCTCCAGTAACCATTCTACTATATTATCACTATTGGCATAAGCAGTAGGGCCAAACTTAACCACTATCCAAGAATTATACTCCTTGATCTCTTATAAGACTGCTGCTCCTAAACCCTTGCCACAGTAGAAGATCAATGACTTCACATAATTTCCACTATCTGCAAAAACAGTAAGTTGAAGAGTAGTCTGTTGCTTATCTCAACTGCTTGTTGTACCCCTTATCCAGACAGTATTCTCAATCTTCAAATTATAGGTTTAACTGCTTAAAAACTCAAAGGAAAGTTGAGTTTGATCTATGCTACATATATTGCGTAACCGGTACCGCTGTTCAGACTCGCGCGCTAGGTTAGTCTCTGACGAATTA